ACTCTGGGGATCGAACTTGGGTCCTTGTGCTTGCAAGGCAGGCCACCAAACCGCTGAGCTAAATCCCCGGCCCAAAATATCAATTTTTGAATGTCTGTTTAAAGAATATTAAGATGTTCTGAATTTTTATTTATTTATTTATTTTGGTACTGGGGATCGAACTCAGAAGCTTGAGCTTGTGAGGCAGGCGGTGGAACCACTGAGTGGGGATCGAACTTGGGTCCTTGTGCTTGCAAGGCAGGCCACCAAACCGCTGAGCTAAATCCCCGGCCCAAAATATCAATTTTTGAATGTCTGTTTAAAGAATATTAAGATGTTCTGAATTTTTATTTATTTATTTATTTTGGTACTGGGGATCGAACTCAGAAGCTTGAGCTTGTGAGGCAGGCGGTGGAACCACTGAGCTAAATCCCCTGCCCCCCACCTTTTATTTTGAGATGGGATCTCACTGTGTAGAGTTCAGGCTGGCCTTGAATTTACTATGTATCAGGCTGGCCTCCAACTCATGGCAATCTTCCTGCCTCTGCCTCCTCAGTGCTGGAATTTTTAAATTCTTAATATGTAGGATATACACATTGTTCATATAAGTTCCTGGCTAAAGAAACCTTTCAGTTCTTAATTCATTAAGTTATCCTTTTATTTGATCCGAGCAATGAATGAGATATCTAAAACAAAAAAAGTTATTTCTCAAAATAGTTAAATAAAAAGGATTCCAATAATACATAGTTTGATTGTTTATTTGTACTGGGTATTGGACTCATGGCCTTGTGCTTGCCAGGCAGGTGCTACACTGCTGAGCTACACCCCTGGCCCCATACAGTTTTAAATTTCAATTTTGTGTTATTTAAACAATTGAAAATAACTTAAAGGTAAGGGGATATATTAAAAAGTAATGTTTTATTAGAAATATTTGCTAGCTAAATGGAATATTACTCAGCCATAAAGAATGAGAAAATAGATTCATTCATTGGAAAATGGATACATATTGAAGATATACTCCTAAGTGAAATAAATAAGGCACACATGTGTAAATACCGAATAATTTCCCTGGTGTGAATAATCTGCAATAATACAGAAGATCCTAATAAGATTACTGACATTGAGAAATGGGAAGAAAGGAGCTAAAGGTGTAGGGAAGGTGGGACGAGTAGGGGAAGGGTAAAAAGGGAAAAGAAAAAATGTGAGATAATGAAAAGATGAAAATAAAGTGTTTGTAAATGGGGAGGGGAGGAGGGGGTGAAGGGAGGGCAGGGACAAGGGGAAAAAATGAGAACCAAGACTTGTTATGTAGAGGTACAAGATCCCAACAATGAATGTAACTGTACTGTATCCCTAAAACATACCAATAAACTCAATTAAAGCTGAAAAAAAATGAAAAGAAAAGAAAAGAAATATTTGCTAACTTTTACATAAGATGCTTTTATAAACAACTGTTATATAAATAATCATAACATTTCCTTTATTTTCTTTTTCTTTTAGATAATACAAATCTTTTCAATCTTACTACTTTCTCCAAAGGAAAGAATGAGTGTTTCTAGAACACTATGTAGAAATGTATTTAAAAAACATAAAATAACTTCTAAAAAGCATAGAGAACAGGTGATAACACTAACTGAACACTTTTTAAAAAATTAAAATAACTAAGTGTCCTGTACGTGTTAAATATCTTATCAGAAAAAAAAAAATCAGACATAAATACCTGCTGCTCCAGACTCCTGACTATAACTAATGGATGAAGACCGAATAGTTCTCAGACGTAAGCTCTGGGCTCTCTCCTGTCGAGCAGCATCACAGGTCTGGTTGGGGTGCCAAATCTGCTTACAGTGATAGCAGAACTCTGTTCCACAGCCTTCTCGCCCACAAGTTAGTTTTGGACAGCTGGCACATCCAAATGCTATCACAGCATAACTTCAAAGAATAAAAAATATGACTTAAAATGTGACAAGTTATTAAGTTTTAAAAAAGTCCCTAAAATGTTACTCTTGAAAAACACTTTCTACTTATGCATTAGCAGTTATAAACCCTGACACTATTTTACCAAAATATAAATGAGAGAAAAAACAGTTCACAAATGAAAACACAGTTTACACAACATTTTTAAAGCTCAATATGTATGTGTGTGATGGTGGTACCAGGTTACCAAGGCCTTCACACTTAGCCAGTGCCTTGGTTTGTGTTTTTTTTTGTTTTGTTTTTTGAGACAGGGTCTCACTAGTCAGTTGAGACCAACCTGGAACTCACTATTTAGCCCAGGCTGGTCTCAAACTCACAGTGATCCTCCTGCCTCAGCCTATGGAGTGCTGGGATTACAGGCGTGCGCCACCATGCCAGGCGGTTTTTAAATGTATGTATGTACATACGTATGTATGCATTAATTAATTAACTTGAGACAAGGTCTTGCTATGCAATTCAACCTGGCCTTGAACTTACTACATAGCCTAGGCTGGCCCTTAAACTCACCAGCAATCCTCCTGCCTCAGCCTTCTGAGGGCTGGGATTATAGCTGTGTACCACCACATCTGGCACCTTGTTTCTTTTGAGACAGGGTCTCATTAATTCGCTGAGTTACCAAGGCTGGTTTGAATTTTCAACCTTTCTACCTCAGACTCCCAGAACACTGGAATTACAGAAGTGGACTAATTGGCTGATTTTTTTTTTTTTTTTGTACTGGGGATTGAACCTGGGTCCTTGTGCTTGCGAGGCAGGCAGGAGAACCACTGAGCTAAATCCCCGGCCCTTAGCTGATTTTTTTTTTTAATGAAACAACTTATTAAACCAAAAATCTACATACCATACAACTTAGAAACTTAATAAATGTAAGATTCAAAAGACTTGAGAACATTGACAGAGTTAACTTTTAACTTTCAACATTTAATTTTTTGGGATGATATCAAGCTGCATTTTGCTTAATCCCAATTTTATAAAAAACATGTTAAATTAGTATTGCATATACACAGAAAATACTAGAAAGAAATACACCAAAAACTTTAACAATGGTTTCCTGGCATTGGGATTTAAAATTTTCTACTTTATATATTTCTGATTTCCAGTAATTATTTGTTATTTAAAAATCAGAAAAATTAGAAAACAATTATTAAAAAATGAGAACAAATCAGCTCTATCGCTCAGACAATGGAATACTGTGCTTTTTACAAGTCTTGTGATTTTAATTTATGCATAAATTCTCACATTGTTCTTTCTAAGCTGCCTGATAAAAAATGGTCTTTGGTGCCAATGTTCTTCCTACCAAAAAGCACAAAAATTAGAATTTCAAAATCTAATTTTAGGGCTGGGCACTGTGGTGTGTGCTTGTAATCCTAGCACTGTAGGAAGCTGAGGCAGGAGGATGGCCAGACTCAAGCTGAGCCTGGGTAACTTAGTGACTTAGCCAAGACCTTGTCTCAAAACAAAAAATTAATAAAGGGCTGAGGATGTAGGTCCAGGTGAAGGCCCTCTGTTCAATCCCTAGTAACACAAGCAAATGAAATGATAGTAGTTTAGATGCTTCTGCTTCAGATAAAAAAAGAGACTAAAAACAGTAGATTTGTGACTAACTCTAACACATATTCTAAAACTTTTTTCAGAGAAATGAAAACTTCTTTACAAGAATGTTCATTTTATTAATAGCAAAAAGAAAAACAAAAAGAAAAGAAAGAGTCCAGATATACTTCAAAGAGTAAATGGTTAAACTATGGTGCATACATATGCACACCATGGACTACTCAGCAAAAAAAAAAAAAAAAAAAAAAAAAAACAAACAATTATTGACACAGGTAACAACTTGGATGAATCTCTGGGAAATTATGCTGAGTGAAAAAGTACACCTCAAAAAGTTACAAAAGATAGGCTTCTGTTATAACTAAGTACTTATACAAACAAGTATAAGTAAAACTGGAGAAATTTTACTAGTATTAGTAGATTGTATACATCTATGCCAATACTCTTGTATAAGTGATAATTACATTGTGATATCGGGTACACAAATTTCTCTGTATTATTTCTTTTAACTACATGTTAACTTAGAATTATTTCAGTGAAATGTTCACTTAAAAAATTTCTAGGAGCTGGGCGTGGTGGTGCACACCTGTAATCCCAGCACTCAGGAGGCTGAGGCAGGAGGATCACTGGGAGTTCGAGACCAGTGAGGGCTACATAGTGAGTTCCAGGTCAGACTCAACTACATAGTGAGACCCTATCTCAAAAAACAAACAAACAAAAAAACCCCCAAAAAACAGAAAAACAAAAACCAAAACAAAAAAACCAAAACAAAACAAATTTCTAGGGTTTCTAGTTCTCTCTGAAGATAGCAACAAAAAATCTTACCTATGGTCAAGAGACATTTGTAAGTACCACAAATTTCTAATAGTTTGGAAGGTTAGAGGAGTTTTCAGGGCTCCTCTTTCACTGACAACAAAATTTAAGTAATAACTTTAACAGATTTTATCAAATATCAAGATAATTTATAAAATTATGCACGGTTTTAAGAGGCAGGAAATTCCTCGATTTTTGGAACTGGTGTTCCCTTAAGTACCTTACCTTTAAATTTAAGCTTTCTATCTTTAATTCCATTTTATTTCTGATAGATAAATCCTCTAATTACCACTTTGTATCACAGGTGTGTTTAAACAGTACTGAATCAAAAGCAATTTATTTATTTATTTATTTGTTTTTTGGTTTTTTGAGACAGGGTCTCACTATATAGTTGAGACTGACCTAGAACTCACTCACTATGTAGCCCAGGCTGGTCTTGAACTCTCAGATCCTCCTGCCTCAGCCTCCCAAGTGCTGGGATTATAGGCGTGTGCCACCACGCCTGGCCTTCAAAAACAATTTAAATCAACACAGGGTAATTTAACAAAACTTCATTTCCTTGAACCTTAAAACAGAATGCTTATTCACTATAGTCCCAGAAAAAAGACACTACACTTCATTTTCTATTAGTTATGATGTCAAAGAATCTATGACAAGAAAAGTCTTTATATAAAATAGCAACTTCAGTGAAAAAGAACTGGCATTTTCCTCTAAATCTTTAACTTACCTTTTTTGGAAGTAGGAGGGAGGAAAGAGAAGAACTGAGAGAATGCAGGGGACAGTATAAATGCAGGGGACAGTGCCAAACCAACTTTTTTTTTGAAGTCAGTAATAATTTACAAGGCCCCAAGAGTTAGGCCAGCTGGTTCAAATTCCATTTCTACCACTTACTACTTATGCAATTTTAATGTACATTATATAATGTCTCCACAAGTAAGTTTTCTCATACATAAAAAGGGATACACTGAACTTTAGCTTAGACTTAGGCCTAATCATCATCAGCTTTGGCCTTGGCTTTCAGAAGGCCACATAAACAAATAAGTATTTCAATAACCTTGCTAGTATCCTTATACAGTACTAGGGCTTCACTAATAACCATGTAACCATACAATTTACTATAATTTCCATATCAATAATATATGCCACTTGAATATTAATATCTGAGAACTCATTTAAAAATAAACACTGGTAGGCACTCTAGTCATAACTGAAATCTTTCATGTGGTGAAATTTTACTGAATTGAAATAAAATGCAGTAATCTTTAATGATGATTGGGAAAGCCAAATTTATTTATAAATTTAATTCAAATAATTAAAAAGGAAAATAAATTTACAGTTGAACACTCAAAAGTGCTGTAACTAGATAAATTTAGGAAGAATACAACTCTTTTGAGCAAATAAATATTTATAAAATATGATAGAAATTAGGTTATATATAATTCTAACCCTTGTGTAAGTTTGTTCAGTATATTACTATTCACATAACTAAATTAAAACTTAAGAACTGAACCACTAAAACTTAATTTCAATGATTTAAATGTGTCAAGAAAAACATTCTATTGGAGAATTCTTCATGTATTTACAAGAATTAAGAGCAGAATGTGAACTTTGCCCTTTCAAAATCTCATGACAAAATTAAGTTACAAACTCTAGTATAATATCAAGTATGAAAACATTAAAGGGTATAGCAAGAAAACTGAGGACCGAAAACATGTTCTTCTCAACAATCAAACTTCAAAACAACTTCTTAAATTTCTCTACCATGATTTTCTTACAGTCTAGAAACTTAAGCGTATTGAAAATGCCTTAGAGATGAACAAGAACATTACCCAAACTTTTATCCTGAAGTGTTTTTCTATAAATTACTATAAAACTTAATCTTACTTGTATATCTTATGAGCAAAAGTATTATTAAAATGATACTTATGTATAATTTTTAATATGCAGCATACTAAAATGAATACCTGTATGGAATTGTTAACATACACAGTATTTTAAAATACCTGAAGCAAATAATTGACAGTGTACAGAAATTACCATTCCTGTATCATGCCAAACACTTGATATTTGATTGCTAATTTTTAAAAATAAAAATTTGTATTTTTTTCTTATATCTCAGAAATTCATCATACTATGATGGTGATGTTTGACTTCGGCCTTGGAAGAATACCGATTTAACATCTGACCCCTTGGTCAAAGTGTGGATTGGATGCAGTAGCCCATACTCATATTCTCAGCTATTTGGGAAGCTGAGGCAGGAAGATTACTTGAGGCCAGAAGGGAGGCCAGCCTAGGTAGCACAGTGAGACTTGTCTCCAAAAAAAAAAAAAAGGGGTCTCCTGTTAAACTTTCCTGCTTAGCAGTGGAAGAGAGAACAGATCAGGAGATAGGAAGGCAATGAAGTAGGACAGTCTTTCCTGAAGCATCTTCCATTCACAGGATTGTGTGGGGTTGGTCCCACCTGCAGCTGGGGACTGAACTCAAGACCTTGAGCTTGCCAGGCAGGAATAAGTGCCACTGAGCTACATCTTGGCCCTTACAGGATTGTTAATAGATGATTCATACTAAGAAAGGATTCAATAAATGGTCAAGTTAGGGAACTCTAAGCAAAATGACTTTTTTGGTTTGACTTACTATAAAATTTCCTAAAGAAGTTTTAACATATTAATGTTCAGTTAGTATAACTGCAACACATAGTTAGTATATGAATTTATTTGACCATGACTTTTATTTCCTGGGAGAATTCCACAGTCATAGTATATTTTACAAATTATGGTACTGATGATACCGAGGAAGCAGGGATAGCAGCTAGGGTGGGATATTACACCTAGGGCAAAATTTATTATTGCTTATGAAGGTACAGGAGTAAAAATACCACACTTAACATAAAACCTTAAGAACGATATGACAGTCCCAATAGAGATTGTGATTTTAAAATGAAAGTAAAAAACAAAGATTATATGGGAGCCTACTCTGAGGCAAGAAAAGTTATTTCTCAAGGTGTATTAATATGTTTAAATAAAAATGACAGATATGGAAAATGGTCATACTGATAAATATCAAATGCAAAAGAAAAAAATTCATAATTTCAAATCTGCCACAGAACTGGGGGTGAGATTCAGCTGGATATAGTAGTGCATACCTGCAATCCTATCTACTCCAGAGGCTGAGAGAGAAGCCAGAAATTCAAGGCCAGTCTGGGCAACTTAGCAAGCCCCTGTCTAGAAATAAAAAATAAAGAGGTCTGAGGATTTAGCTCAGTGGTACAGCGCTTGCCTAGTATACTTGAGAGTCTGGACTCAATCGCAGAACAACAAAAAACTTTTACAGTGTGTTGTAAAGTGACATGGGTTAAACGCTGCACATACACATAATGCTCATGGCACTGTGCCTGTGTATTTCTATGAATGACTGCAAAATCCGTATTTGGACATTTACCTACATTCCCTATGTCTGATTTAAATAATAAATAAACTTTTAATTTAAAATATCTTTAAAATATTTAAATAAAATATCTGAATGATTAAAAAAAATTAAAATAGGGGAATGGGTGTAGCCTGATCAGAGAGAGCATGCCTAGCATGGGCAACGTCCCAGGTTTGATCCTTAGCACTGTAAAAGACAAAACAAAACACAATGCTTAGGAAATGGAGACAAGGAATAATAAATGAGAGCTACAAGAACCTTAATGTATCCTAAGAATTTAGCTAGCAATGACATTGAGAGCTACAAGAACCTTACTGTATCCTAAGAATTTAGCTAGCAATGACATTAAAGATAGATCTTTACCCTTATAACAATGGCATGCTTTTCCTCAAATCAAGTTCTGATACAAACTATAGGCTGTTTCAGGCCTATCATGCATGTTCTACTGGATTGCTAAGTGCTGACTATCCTTTCTGATGGGATTAATCAAACCAGCAAAAGAAAATACATCTCTATTTATTAACCAAAGTTTGTGCCCCTAGAATCACCATCTCAGTCTCTCTTGGCCACAGGTTCTGGAACTGAAGCCTCCTTCTTCTTTGTTCCATCACTTTTAGATTTTTTAAAAGCTATTACATGTTGAGAGGAAATTAGAGGAAACTCTCATACCCTGGGGCTCTATGAAAGACAGTTGGAAAACCATACCCTTTTACCCTTTTCTCCTTAGTTTTTGCTATGGGAGTATTTGTTTAATAACTCATACAAAGTTTCGTGTAACCTAAAGTTTACTATCAAACTTAAGATTAATTTCAGGAGAATGACTTGCATCAGTGAAAATACTGTGCAACAGTTCATAGGATTAGAGTGATACAATCCTAAGTTGTTTTTCTAACAGGACACGGTCTCTTCTTCAAGTTCTTAAAAGTTAATGTTCATTCTTCCTATTTTTCTTCTCACCTTTTTCTTTAGAATTTCATTCTTCATGGGTCTCCGAACCATTACACCTGGAGGCACCACTAACCTTGGGGCAGTTTATTGATAGTATCTTTTGCTGTAATACAAGTTCTTCACAGTATGGGACAGGATTAATTCAAATATGACACTGAAGAGTATGAGTCCCACACACAACTGAAGAATTCATAAAGTATTAAGTAATTAGGTAATTTTAATGCTTTATATCACATGAATATTTGGTGAATGGTTAAGTGCTAGTAATATCTGGAAAAACGAACTTGCACATGTTAGAAATATGATTTTTCTTATTTAAAGGTATTAAATATAAAAAGTATATAAGTTTATGAATATAGGCACATAGGTTAGACGCAATCTGAAAATTCACTACTCAACAAGCTTTTAAAAATGGGTTTGATTTAAATGAGTTCTGAAATTTGAATCTGATAAATTTTATATTCCAGTCTTGCCAGACACTGTACCTAAATAATCTAGAAATTCTAGATTTTCTCAAACCTCAGTGTACCAGTAAGTACGCTAAAGCTCAACTGTTGGTGGCTCTTACTATTCTTGAAGAGTATATAACTTTTTCCTTGGTTTGAACAACTGAACATAATAAAAATTTATGTCAACAGGGGCTACTGTTAACATAATAATCAAATACATACATGAAATTATTTTAAATGTTGTGGAAATGGTATTTGTAATTTAAAAACTTGAGGCGAAGTATTATATAACCCCTACAGGTAGCAAATCTTAAAACTAACAAAAGTTTACATGTATCAACATGAATGTATCGTTCTGTGGCAAAAAAAGTCATATATTGATGATCATAAATAAACCTCTCACCGCAAACTCAAGTATTTCATTTATTATTCAATAATAAAAATTCTCCAAGTGGATCAAGAAATTCAGTTTTGCACATGGCTAAAGCCTATTCTCTACTATTTTACTCATCTTTCAAAAATGCTCTTAAGTGAGTATGTAACATAGAGACAACGTAAAAGATTCTTGCCTTTAACACTTAATGTTGTGCCTAATATAATTTCATAAGAATGAATTATTTGATGTATTAAGACTGTTCTTTTGAGTAATAGCCAGCAAATTTTTTAAATCCCCACAGAAAGTCAAACAGTATTTTCTTACCCACAGTCTGGAGCTGGACACCACCTACAATCAGGATCTGCAACAAGCCACCGTCTAAGCATAAATTCTTCATATTTTTCCATCAAGACATCATCACTTAATATCAAGCGAATGTCATGGGGATTAAACCGTTCAGTACATTCTGGGCAACTGATATTAACTCTACTTTCAGAGATTTCTATCCTTAGGTATTGTCGTAAGCAATCCACACAAGATCTATGATGACAAGTCATTATATCGGGAAATCTGTCTTTAGAGTGCCGCAAAAGGCACAGAGGGCACTCTATAAAGTCTCCGATTTGTTTGCTGATAGAAGTCAATCCATTGTCAGAAGAGGTATTTGTAGAGAAAATGGAGTTCTTATCAGTACACATTTCAGAATGTATACTTTCAATACTTGCAATTCCATCCACCCCGCCATTTAGCTCCCTTGATTTACGTTTGTTATCCTTTTTCCTCCGAAACAGAGAGCCTATTGAAATTCTTCTTTTTTTGGGTGCTTTTTTAACAGAAGGCAAGCTTACAGATGAAGCAGAAGAGTGAAGATCTCGATCTGAACCCATTTGCCGATGTAAACTCATGTCTAAAATGCTCATGAGAATTGAGTCAGGGTCAGTGTTTATACACAGCCCTTCATCATATTTAAAAATAAATCCTATTTCTTGTTCTTGCATTCAGATTAAGTCATGATGTACGAAGAGCCTACTTGGTTCCTTCAGAGAATTCTTGAAAAAGTTTGATTTATAGAAGATGTTATCACAGATGTCCTAAAAAAACAAAAACCAAGATCATTAAATTGTATTTTTCATCTGCATATTTTTTTTTTTCCTTTTTGCAATACAGGGATCGAACTCAGGACCTTGCGCTTGTGAGGCAGGCATGGTGCCACTGAGCTAAATCCCTAGCCCCACCTGCGTGTTTTTATAACTTACAAATTCTTTATGAAATTTCAAACACATATATTCTCTTTTTTTTTGAGACAGGGTCTCACTGTGTAGTTGAGACTGACCTGGAACTCAATATGTAGCCCAGGCTGGTCTCAAACTTGCAGCGATCCTCCTGCCTCAGACACCCAAGTGCTGGGATTACAGCCGTGTACCACCACATCCAGCTTCAAAAACATATATCCTTTAACTTCAGTTTTAAAATAAGGCCAACTTATTACTTTATAGAAGAATATAAAATTAATGCCGAACTAGCAATGAGAATATTGTTTAATCTTAAGATTTGAGCTAACCTGATGATTATAAAATTTTAGGTAAAATTTCTGATCATTATCACTTTAACTTCAGCAATACCTCACAGCCTTTAGTTTTTGGTTGCTTTTAATCGACAATAAAAGATACATGGAGATCCACCACGGGAAGGAGAACCACGCCTGCTCTCGACCCAGCAGCCATCGCTCAAGCGCTGGGAGGGTAGGCCGGCCCCAATCCACCGCAGGAAGGAGAACCACACCTGCTCCCGACTGTCATCAAGGGTATTTTTCTGAGTTCCCAACTTTGAACATCTTTAAAGAAAGGGCGTGGGAAACCTGTAATAGAACGTTGCAGAGTTCAACCATTCAGAAGGTTGGGAACTCAATCTGGGCCTTGCAGCCCGAGGTGAGTCAGCATCATGGGGTTCAGCAATCAGCTAACTGAATCAGGGGTCTTCCATCCTCTCTCTGTCTGAGCCATTAAATGGTAAATACACTATATTGAAAAGTTTGTTCACTGCAGACATGCTCTGGACTGCTTCTTGATTTCAATTTAATTCAAATGATTTAAGAGTGATAGACTAGTGACTACCACAGGTGGTCAGTGTCCAAGTTGTGCTTGATCTTAATGTGTTGCTGATTGTATCAGTTGGGCTAAAGCATTGCCATTGATTTGATGAGCTGTTTTCTCTGATGTTATGAAGATGAGAATGTCTGTGGGTCGTTAGAGACACAGAAGCTAGGGTGCAACTATATCAGGAAGATTTGGGTGATAATCCAGAGATTAAACCAAGGACAGTCCAACAACAAAAATTAAAATGAGAAAACACTTAAGCAAGACACAAGGACAGACTTCCAGTTCACCAATGGCAAACAGTAGGGCAAATGAGGATGAAAAGGCCGATAGTGAACCACCAGGATACCCTGAACTCAAAGCACAGGAAGTAACAAAACAGATCAATCAGGCTCTAGAAAAATTCAAAACAGAAATAATTTCCCAGATAACCATAGAGATAGGGAGCAAAATGGAAGTCGTGATTCGAGACTCTAGAGCAGAAACTGACAGAAAAATAGATGAGCTCAGGACCATGATAGAAGCCATGAAGGCCCAGCATAAGAAAGAAATGGAAAAAATAAACGCCCAACATAGGAAAGAAATGGAATCCATAAAACAGATTCAAACAGATATCCAGGAGATTAAACACTCTATTGAAAGTGTACGCAACAGAATAAAAGAATGCGAAGATAGGCTCTCAGATATAGAAGATAAGATTGCAGTCAGTGACCATGAAAAGAGAGGTCTCTTAAAAACAGTAAGAGATCATGAGAAATCGATCCAACAACTCCTAGATGATGCAAAGAAGAATAACATAAGACTGATAGGAATACATGAAGTAGCAGGAGAAAATACAAATGACTTAAAAAAGCTGTTTGCAGAATTAATGACAGAAAACTTCCCAAACAGAGGGGAAGAATTTGACATTCAGATAACTGAGGCATATAGGACCCCAACTAGCTACAATCAAAAAAAATCTACACCTAGACATATAATAATCAAGATCCCAGAAACCCAACAGAAGAACAAAATACTACAAGCAGTAAGAGAAAAGAAACAAATCACATACAAAGGAAAGCCCATCAGAATCACAGCAGACTTTTCAACACAAACCCTTGGGGCAAGGAGAGCCTGGAATGAGATATTTCAAGTACTAAAAGAGAACAACCTCCAACCTAGACTGATGTATCCAGCAAAACTCTCTTTCAAAATGGATGGGGAAATAAGACACTTCCACGACAAAGAACACCTGAGAAACTACATGAATACCAAACCAGCACTACAAGCAATTCTAAACAAGATCCTAGAAAAAGACAATGAAGGCAACAACACCATGAGGCCCAACAGAGCAAATCAAATAGGCAAGGCAAGAAATTAAAAGGAGAAGGTGAAAAAGTAAAAAGAGTCAACAAAAGGCCAATAACATGTCAATAATAAGTCAGTACATATCAGTTATAACCAGCAATGTCAATGGCCTCAACTCACCAATCAAGAGAAATAGACTGGCAAAATGGAATAAGAAGCAAAATCCAATAATATGTTGTATACAAGAAACACACCTAGTGCAAAAAGAAGCCCAGAGACTGAAAGTGAAAAGATAGAAAACAATTCTCCATGTGACAGGATCCCAGG